CGGCCCTCGGGCTGACTTACGTGAGGACGTAGTTGACGCTGACGATGCAGTGCGGGCGGGAGGAGCGGCTGGTTGGCCCGCTGGGGGGGTAGCTCTGGACCCACACCCAGCCGCCGTGCTTGGCCAGGAAGCGGTAGTACTTGGTGGTCACTTGCCCTTTCACCAGCACTGCGGGGACAAAGCGGGGAGAGCCTCAGCGCGGCTCCCGCCTCCGTTTTGATCGGCCCTGGGAAGGGGGCGCACACCCCCCAGACCCCCGTGGGCGAGGAGAGGGACCGGGAAACCCTTAGCATCGCGTCGGGAAGTAGCGTGGAGCGAAACCCCCGTGGGCAAGGGTGGTGGGGACCCCCGGGCAGGGCTGATCTCAGTCCCTGAGAGTCGGGCCACCCGTTATGAAAGGCGATTGTTCGGGGAGATTGGTGGGGCAAGGTGAGTATCCTCTCAGAGAGGGGTTGAATCCCCCCCACCCACACCCATCCCGACATATCGTCATCGAGATTTAATTCCATAAATCTGGCTTTGTGTTTTATCTCTTCTCGTTACATTCTCCGTAAGGAAACTTACCGGAAATTAATATCCTTTTTATTCATCTATCCATGTATTAATGTCATCATGATATCAAAATAGAATAAAGAACAGCTCTCCGAATCAGGCTCACTACTGCAGTCAAAATTAGATACACAGATAAGACTTGTGGGACTTGGTGGAAGTGGGACAAAAGTATTTGGATTTCACTGGCATGGCTTTTTGGAGCAAGAAAAAAGGGTTTTTCCTAACCGGAATTTGAAGTGAACTGAGCGCCTGAGGTTTGTGCAGGGGAGTTCTTGTCCTACAACCGGGAGCTGAGGAGGGAAAAAGCCTTTCATTGCCCATCCCCTCCGTTTCCCTCCTGCCTCCAACTCGGAGTTCAGTCCCTAACGACTTGTTTCATTAAAAGCCGCTGTGGGTTTTGCGAATTCTCCCCTCCAGTGAGCCGGCTTTTCCCGTTCCGACCTAGAGGTAAATCCTAACAAACCCAAAGTCCATCTGCAGAGGGAGAAGGCGGGGGGCGAGGGGCAGGGTCTCTACAAGAACATCATCTCCTTACACAGGTGATGGGCGCATCGCAGGTGGAAGGTGTCGCAGCCGTGGACGTGGTGGTAAAGGGTCTTCTCTATCAAGTCCTGGGGCTCGTAACCTGTTAGCTCAGCTACCCTGCAAGAGACAGAAGCAGAAAATATCAGCGGGTGAGAGGACAGGAGAGGAGGCCTTGGGGGCGAAGCAGGGAGGGACTAAGGGAACAGATTTGGAAATAACCCCGGCTCTACCTGGAATCTAAGAATATGAGCTTCATGTCTAGACTGGCGCGAAACATGAACATATTGCTGTGGAGCTTGATCTCCGTCACGGCGCTGGGTGGCAGCGAGTGGCCCACGGCGACCAAGCCAACGTTTTGGTAGCAGCCGTCGAAGGGGGACATGTCCAGGCTGTACTGGCGGATCTTCAGGTACCCGCTGCAGTGAATGACCTGCCGAAGACACAGGAAAGCTCGGGGACTGCCTGGCAGGGGGGGAGGGTGTGCTGTGACAGGAGTCCCTGCCCGCGGAGGGGACCCGGACAGACCCGCCCGCCGTCCCGGCTGGTGCCGGTGCGGCCGCCGGGTGCCCTGGGGTCGCTGCCCGGCGCCACCGCTCCGGCAAAGCGGCACCGTCTGAAGGTTTTCTGCTCTTCTGTTTGGGTCGGAGTTGGGTTTTTTTCCATACGAGAGTTCAGCACTGATCTAAGGCCCATTAAAGTCAACGAGATTTTTTTTTCCACTGACTTAAGTGGTTTTTGGACCACCTCCTAACTACGCTTTTATTATTCTTCTAAAAAGGAAAGACGCGGAAGTGCCAAGCCAGTTACAACTTTGTAATGAAGAGTGTATGCGTGTGAGAGAAAGAGTTTACATGTGTGCATATGTCACATGTGTAAGATATGTCTATTATATAGATAGAGCAGACGCGATCCGTAGCCAAAATGCATCTTTGGACGTGGATTTAGGTATGTCTCCTAAGTGTATCCTTGCACGTGACCGCTGTGTACTTCCAGTCTTACTTGTCTATTATTAGGGTGTTTCTTCCTGGAGCGATTTCGGCAGATGCTCTTGTTCTACGGCACGTCGTGGCACAGCATCGCCTCGGGCTATAGGTACCCACCGCTCTCCGGCGTTGTGCAGCTGACACAAAAGCGGGGAGAAGGTAGGAAAGCAGGGGCTGCTCCCACCGAGGAGCCCTGAGCGGAACCCGGGCAAAACCCTTGATTTGGAGAGCTGCCCCTGAAGCTGACGAGTTACCCAACAAAGAAATAAATTAACCCGGGGCTCCCATGGTGTCACCTGACAGCTCCCCCACACACCTCGGGAACGCAGTGGTTGTGCGACGTTCAGTTTAAAAAGCAAAACAAAACAAAAAAACCCAAAACCACGGGGAGCTCGATTGCTTGGTTTCGTGGTTTGAGCTCTTTAACCTGGAACTCCGAGAGAAATTCTGGCTCTGAACCACATGAAAGAGTACCGGGCTGGGAGAGCCCCCGCGGGCAGAGGGCTCATCCCCACTCCTGTCCCCCTGTTCACCGCCCGCCCAGCGGGCCCGGCGCTGCCGGAGCAGGGGCGCGGGAAGGCT